GGTGGCACAGATAGGAAATAGATGAAATTGACAATGTACTATTTCATGTATTCTTGTGTGTGACACAATGGGTGTTGCATTGGATGACCTGTTATTGTCAGTTACATCTGTTGTTCCATATCTTGATCCATTGAGCATGTCTTGTAACCCAATTTTAATCTTGTCTTCCTCTCATGTCAATTTTGTGGAGGTCATTCAAATTATTCAGTGGAGAAAGGACTTTTTGGAAGAGACGAAACTGTAATTTGACTCTATCTGTTTGGTGTCATTCAACAATTGCAAAACAAAAGATGGCGGTACATGAAGTTCATAGTTGAACATCTCTATATGCTTCCATGGGTATTGATGTTTGCAAGTCTTGATATTGCGCCCATAAAAAACTATAAATAAACTTAACTTTGTTATTTAAGATGATGTGTAAAAGATAAGAAAATAAATATGAAGAGTTACCTGATTAGCTTGAATGTGATCAAACATCGATCTGTACCCTACAACATCATTGTGAGGTTTATTTCGAAAGTTTAGTACTCTACCCTCGCTTTATCTGCACACAAGAGGGTTTGTTGGTGGATTACTAGAAATTGACGCAATATATGACATACAATACCATGCCCAGGACATTAACAGTGATGAGCAACCACCCATTGTTTTACTACCAACTTCTGTGGCTCTGCACATTTTCCTATACAACATAGCTGAACAAGCAGAACCCTAACTATATCATCTTATTCATCTAAGATTAATTAATAAAGTTAAATACATAAGATGTACTTTGTTGCCTGTTTTGTCAGGCATCAAAACACCTCCAATTAAACCTAGTATATAAGCCCTACAATGAGTGTGAACTTCTTCTTTATATGGTTCTTCTGGTAATGGCAACATGTTGTCTCTCAGCCACTTCAATTTTGGCATAGAGCCAATAAGTGACTCTCCCTTGACTGACACAATACTGAGATATGTGTCACATATTTCCTTCCAGTTATACATTGTTGGAGCAATGACTGGTAAACCATTAACTCTTAGCCTGAGTTGAAGTGCAACATCCTCCAGGGTTATGGTGCACTCCCCTGTTGAAAAATGAAATGTGTGAGTTTCAGGTCTCCACCTCTCGACCAAAGCTATTATCAATGTGTGATCCACCTTATGATGCCTTAGCTTTGCTACTACAACAAAACTAAGTTGTTCAAGTATAGGAACAATTAGAGGACTGAGTTCTGGCATTAAATGACATAAAGATGAAATCATGTTTCCAGTTTCTTGCAGTTATTAATAAATTAGTAATATTATATGTAGAATATTGATTTACATATTCAGTTAATAATGGTAATGTGTAAAACTTACCGTTCTTCTAATGAAGGCGGACTTGTGCTCATTTTACTTCTAGAACAACATTTTTAGTAATGAGAGCAAGGATGGATGCAAGTTTGAATGAAGATATGTAGCTTTGGATGAACATATTTATAGATAAACTTTGGTACATGAGAGTAGCCTTGGAATCTTGAGAAGTCAATATCTCTTAGTTTGCATGACTGAGAAGTTACTATCTCTTGGTCTGCATGACTGAGAAGTCACTATCTCTTGATCTATGTGAATGGAGAGGTCACCATCACTCGTAAACATGGTGAAGCATTGAATAATTGAGAATTATATGTTACTATTATAAATAGTCATATTCGTGTTCATTTTATTCATTCAACCTTCTAAGCTTGTTCCTTATTCTTGTAAACCTTCTCCTTTTAAAAATGTCTTTAATCTATGTCATTGTTCACTCTGATGGTGCTATTAACCAATGTCTTTATGAAGGAGTCACGTTCACCTCATCATCAGCCAAATTAGTACATCTAAAAAGAGCAGTGACTCTACAAAGGCTCAAGAAAGTCATTCACACAAAACTCAACTGAGACGAAAATGAAAGGGTGACAACCATACATTTTTGCTACCCAATTAGACTTAGCCTAGGAGTTAGCAACTACACATGTGTTGAGTTGAACGATGATGAAGACGTTGAGACACTCTTCAACAGGCACAATTCAAATCAACTTCAATCAGGTATAGAATTATATGTTACATTTGCTACAAACGTAACCCAACCACCACAACTTTCACCTTCACCTTCACCTTACCAAACTTACGAAACCATAAATCCATATTTTTCAACATATGATATGAATTTTGACCTTCAGTGCTACACACAACTTTTAATTGGTCAATTCATGGACCTCAGTGAAATACCCTCCCAACCATTTAAGCAAACCCTACCCTCTCAATCTCTTAAAGAAACCTCCATTGAAGAACATGCTATTGTAGGTATCCTAATTGAAGTATTTGATCCTTTTAGTGAGGACGAAGATGAAATCCTATCTCAACAATAGGATGATGAAGAAGACTTCCTCCTACTTCCAAATATTTCACCATCACAACCATTACCATTATACAACCCATCTCCACATTTTCTAGACTTTCCCACTCAAATACAAAAACATGACTATGAGTTTGGCCACATTGTCAATCATTGTACTTACAAGGTGAAGATGTCAAGCACAACTAAGTTTGTCGTGGAATACGTTCACAACGACTGTGCCTGGAGATGTCACGCTATATTGTGCACCAAAGAGTAACAATGAGAAATAATGAAGCTTGAAAGGTGCCACACATGTGCTTCTCCACTTATTTCACAGGATCATAACAAGTTGGGGATCACGAATGATTTCTCAAACCATTCGTGAAATTATTGAGACTGATCCATCCACACCTATCGCAACTATCTTAGCCTACATAAAGTCTACAATGGGTTACACAATCAGCTATAAAAAGGGATGGTTAGAGAAACAACATGCTATTGAAAATATCTTCAAAAATTAGGATGAATCATATTATAAGTTACCTAGACAGTTGCTTGCAATGCAATTGTATGTTTCGGGCTTTATCTGGAAATTGAGTACACAACTGACATACAAGGGTGGCTTGCTTGACGAGGGAAATGTATTTTTCAAGAGGTTGTTTTGGACCTTCAAGCCATGCATTGATGGTTTTGCCTTTTGCAAACTAATTGTTCAAGTGGATGGAACATTTTTGTATGACAAATACAAAGGGACTTTATTAGTGGCAGTTGCGCAAGATGGCTGCAACAACATAATTTCCATTGCCTTTGCTGTGGTTGAAGGTGAAACTAACGATGCATGGTTCTGTCCATGTCTAGTGCATTAGACATATTGCACAAAACTTCATGCGACAATTCAAAAATGTTGCACTGAAGAAAGATGTGATCAATATAGGTAATTTTAATTTTTTAAGTACTCTATATTATCATTAATATTTTATACAATTGCTTAACTAGTTGTATTAATTTAATTTGTAATATTGTTTCCAATATATGGGATGATTGAACCGAGATTCTTTTATTATTACAACATAGTAAAAGATAATAATCTTGAAGCTGCACAATGGTTGGACAACATTCCAAGGAAAAAATGGACATTGACATGGGACAACAGACGACGCTGGAGACACATGATAACAAACCTAGTGGAGTCAATCAATTTGGTCTTGAAGAAAACCAAAAATCTGTCAATTTGCTCTATTGGCAAGATACACCTGTTGTAATAAGTTCTTCATTGACAGAGGCAGGAAAGTAGATGCAATGATTAATGCTGGACATATGTACTTGGAGGTTGCAACTAAAACAATTCAAGATGCACAATCAAAGGCAAACAATCATAAAGTCATCACCTTTGGCAAAACAAGCACTAAATTTTTAGTCGAAGAAACGTAACATTCGATAGAAATTTGACCCGTAGAAAGATTTACAATACGGTTAAATAAAATGTAGTGTGATTGTGGCAAGTTCCAAAATGTTCACATCTCATACTTACATGTACTTGCTTCATGCTTACACACATACCACAACTTTAATATCTACATATCTCCCATATATACCTTACAACAAGTTTTTAAGCTATACAAAGGTCAGTTTGGAGAACTCAAACATAAAAACTATTGGCCAACTTACATGGACTCAACTTTGTGTTCAAATCTAGAACTGAAAAGAACTTCAAAGGGTCGACCCAAGTCCAATAGAATAAGAACAGAGATAGACATTAGAGAACAAAAAAGTCGGACAAAAAATTATTCTTATTGTCACACTTCTAGTCACACAAGGAAGACATGTCCAAATATCGCTTAAGTTTCTAGTTCCCGCCATTGATTTATGTTATTGTTATTATTTTAAAATTTTCTTAATGTAATTTTTAATTTTATGAATATCATTACAACTTTTAAATTTTTAGTATTTGTAATTTATATTAAATATATAATTATATATAATATATTTACATAATATTATTTAATTATGTTTATTAATATTAATAACATATTTTTTAATTAAATAATTATGTATAAATTTTAATCAAGATTAATATCTCAAAATAAATAAATAAATTTAATTATTATGTGATACTTTTATTTATTTAATAAATATATAAAATAAATAAATTATTATTATAATTTTATTTTAAAAAAAATATAATATTAAATAACCAAAAATATAATTTTAAAATATAATATTAATATCATTTTTAAAAAAATCAAAATTATATTAAATAATATAATAAGAAAAACAAAAATACTATTTATTATCTTAAATATGTAAAATAAATTTTAATAAACATGTAAAATAAATATTATTATTATTATTGTTCATTTTTAAATAATATAAAAATATAAACATAATTTAAATAATAAAAATTATTTTATTATATATAATTAATAAAATATAAATATATTTTAAATAATAATATTTATTTTATTATATAAAATTAATTTTTTTTAAAAAAAGGTTAAGTCAGAATTCAGTTCCTAAAATTCTGAATTGCAAATTTGGGCTGTAGTATTTGGGTCAACTTCAGTAAATAAATTGTGCATGGGTCTATTTAAGTATTTTTTTAATAATTTTTCTGTAAAAATTTCAAGTCAGTCATCCAATAAAAGAAAAAAAAAAACCCAAAAAAAAAATGAAAGCAAATGGGACAACACCTCACAATAGAAACTGCAGAGAATGAATGAAGTTCACAAAAGTTAGAGAAAGATGAACATCACAAGCTTAGTCTGTTTCCAACCTTGGATTCCTTCATCAGTGCTTTATCCCAAAACCAGCTTCAGAAAATTCCCACTATCACTCCGTGCCAGTCTTCAAGATTCTCGACCACCCAACTCAACCCAACAACAACAACAACTCAATCTCTCTGTTCTTCGCTTCACATTGGGTCATTTACCTCTCGCTCTCTCTCATATTATCGTGTTTTTGGTTACTCTCTCTCAAATTATCTATCTATATATAAATATTTAAGAACATAAATAAAAATAATTTTAATTATCAATATAGTGTTGTATGGTCGATTTTTTTTTTCATCAAGAGTAAAGAGAACAGTCCTTCCTTTAAATTTTAATTCTCTAGAATGAAAGTTTAAAGTAATATTATCTATTATTGATTTAAATTTAATTATATTTATAAAATATATAAATTTTAAACAAGGGTGAATAAATGTTTAATTTCTTAATTTTGCACAATTTTTTAAAACGAGTTAAATCCTCTTACTTGATAGGCTTTAAAAAGAAACTAGGAGAATCAATTTTAGTTATCCAACTATAACAATTAAAAATTAATTATATTTATACTTAATCTCCATTATCTATATAATTTTATTAAATAAGCTCTTGGGCTCTCACTTTTTATGTTCCTTGATGTTTGTGTGTGGGTTGATTGCGTTTGGTTCAGGGATACCTGGGTTGGATGAATCCTACTTGCCCAGATGGATTGGTTATGGCTTTGGTTCGCTTCTGCTCTTAAATCACTTTCTTGGTTCTGATTCAGCCACTGTTACACCAGCTCAGCTTGTAAGAAAAATTATAAATTAACTTCATTTTGGTTATATTTTCCTTTTTTGTTTCTTTAACTGAATTTTATTTTTCTGGGGTGGCCTTAAAATGGTTGTGTTTTGCTTTGTTATGCAGAGTACAGAGGTTTTGGGTCTGTCTTTGGCTTCCTTCTCAATTGTGCTGCCTTACATTGGTAAATTTCTCAAGGTGACTAATTTTATCCATGTAGAATAAGTTCAATGTTTCCAACACTTGCAGAAATATATGAAGCTCCATAATTTCAATTAGGTTTCCACTTTCAAGAAGACTTGTTTAGAATAGAACAACAATGTTTTATAATTTTTTAAGTATATTTAAGAATTAAATAATGCTACTTTTGTTTGAACTTATATATGTAGCTAATATGAAGTTGTCATGTATGATATTGATCCTCATCTAAGTCTGTGAAATTGTTAGGGTGCTCAACTTGTGGATCAGAAGACAATACCAGATGGTACAGAGCAAATATTTGTCATGTCACCGGATATAGTGGATGATCTAAAGGAGGATCTTGCTTGGGCATCATACATTCTGCTGTGTAATACAAATGCAATAGCTGCGGTATGTCTCGTAGATTATTGTTATTAATTAAACAAATTCATGGTGGGTTACTAGGTTGATTGATGCTGGGGTCCTTCATTTGTTGTTCACCTGTAAGTACCACTTTAAGCTGAAATTAATAGTTCAAAAGGCTAAATTGTCAAGTACACACTGCGTAAAATGCATATGATTTATTCTACATTATACGTAATAGTGCATTAGAGGTTGTTAGGAACTTAGGATTGTTTTGAATTGTTAGAAGTTAGTTACCCATACAATTAGATAGTTACATTGTAGATGAAGGCTACAAGCTATTATAGTAAATATAAATAGCAAAATCTCTGTTCAATTGTTCATTCATGAGTTCAGTTCAGCATTGCAATTCATTTTCTCAGTATTGCTCTCTTTCTCCTTTTAAGTTTTTCTTCTTCTGCCTTACCTGGAACAATTTCAATTTGTTCAGCTAATTTATATTCAAGGAGATATATGTGCGAGGGGCTACTGGAATACACCAAATGATTCTTCAAAAGAAATTCTCCTTGGTTGGTTTAAGAAAAAAATTGAAAATGCTGGCTTGTATGACTTGAAGGACACCCTATACTTTCCTCAAGATGCAGGTAATGATAATTTTTATAGTTTTGGTTAAGTATGCTTGTGGAAGTTGAAGTTTGAGAGTATCTTGTTCTTCTGGTTAAATCTGCTAGGAGCTAGAGAAACATCTGCATATTCATTTGATTTGTTTAATTGTCTAGAACTAGAATAGATGTTCCATTACAATTTAAGAAAAAAAATGTGGTTTTAAAACAACTTTTTACTCACGAACACTGCAGCTGGGTTTGGTACCAGCATTTAATTTTAGGAAGTGTTACCTTTCTCGAGTGTATTTGACCAAATTCTTGAAAATTCTGATCATGAAGCCCATCCAACCTTTGCTCATTGACTATAAAAGAATAGCTGATCTTATTTTTAAATACACAGTATAATATTTTTTATGCCTCTGGTTGGCAGAGAATATCTATGTAGAGCTAATTTCTGTTTTGTGCTTGGGCTTTTTCCTGACTTTTCATTTCTTTCCCTTCTCTGATTTAACTAAAAATATCAGGGACTGGAATTTTATTCATAAAGATGTATGTTGGATGTCATGTGGAAATTACTGCAGAAAATGCAGATCTTTTAGAATTCTTTTTAAGAGATATGTGCATTATTTTTTTAGTTCCTAGACATTTATGACTCGTACATGAGCCTATACCATGTGTTTTTGTACAAGGGTCTTTAGCTGACTGAGCTGAGTCTAAGACAAGGTTTCTCAATTCTATTTCTCCTCCAAATTTAAGGCTGTAATTAATAATTTTAGAGATAAAGGTCTGATTTTATTGCATGAATTCACTCTTTACAGGCATGAATTGCAATAAAAATTGAACATTGTATGCTTTTTGTTAAAAAATCTGAGAGTTTGATGAATACTTCAGATTCTGAATTTCAGGATCTGGTACCTATAGGGACTTGTTCTCTTCTAGTACAACCAGTGTTACAAGTTTCTATTGAGAATGCTACTGGTTTGCAAAGCCCTGTGGGATTTATTCTGCTGGCCTCGAGCATGAGGTATACATTTAGCACTAAAGAAAGAGCTTGGGTTGCAGCTGTGGCAAACAAATTTAGAGGTAATAGCATTTGAGTGTTTGAATATTTGTAGAATAGCTTACATTTCATTTTTTAATAATGAAGTCTGAATTGCATTGTAGGCCTCTTTCTTCCTATTTAAATGTGTATCTTTTGTGCAGATTTATCATTGGAAAGGGTATTGGTTTTTTGTTATGATGTTATTGTAAACCTGAAAGAAGTAGACTGTAACAGATTTGCAACCTTCTATAAGAATAATTCTAAGGATTTGAATATTTCATAAGATTTGTTTTCTGATCGTATTATTTAGTTGAGTTGTAGATCGTGTGATATAAAGGAAGTACTATGAAAAGCATTTATTTGTTTAGAATTCATACATAGTCTTATCTTCCTCAATTGATATGTGTTTGAGAGTTAAAATGACATATTTTCAACCTGAAAGAAGTAGCCTACATAACATATTGGCAACTCATATTTAGTTGATTTTCGATTGTAAGATATAATGGGTGTGCTATGAAAATCATTGGTTTGTTTACAACTCGTAGTCTTGTTGTCCTTAATTTATATATTCTTGAGAGCTGAGTTGAACTTCCATAAGCTTTTCATCTATTTAGCTTATATATATTCACTCCACTCACTCGATGGGTCTCTTATGTTGCTGATATCTTGCTCTGGATAAGCATAGTCTGCTATTTATGAAGGATTACAGGAGACAACTATAATATAATTCAATAATGATAACAAAATATAAAATGGAGAAAAAGCGTTTATTTGTTTGTTATCTTTTTGGTCATTTCACACATTTTGACAATCTTCACAGTTGGAAGATTCCGAATACCTCTGAATCTATTTGATTTTACCATGGTCATGATCATGTAGGATTGAGCAAGCTTCACATGTTTTAGAAAATTGAGTGCATTTTTGGATTGAATTATTTTGGTTCATTATTTGAAAAAGGTGCAAAAAACACTATTCAATTTTGTTTGGCAACTTTTAAGAAATCAGCTTATAGTTTTTTATTATTCTTTTTAACAAAGAATACAGCTTATTTTAGATAAGCAAAATTTTGGAGCTTATGATTAAAAGTTATCAACTTCTTTGCTAGTTTACATTTATTAATAATTATTTTAAATACAAAACTAACTATTTCACGTAGCTTTGGACCCCTTTTGTAATTTCATCCCAAAAAAGCAATTCTTTTATTCTATCCAAAACATAATATATTATTTTAAAATCACCTTTCATTTAACACATCCAAACATAAAACTTATTTTGTATAATCAATTATCACAATAATATATTATAAATATAATTGATTTTTGAAATAATATATCTTTTTCAGCTAATCCAAACATACATTAAATCGTATATGATATTCAATGCTATTATAAACTTTTGATGATACAGGGAGGGTCTAGCTGTCAGATTACCTAAGGCAATGCAAGAGTCTGAAGTACAAACAAAATGAAGCATGAAATCTATATGATACAATGCAATGTAAGTTATAGGATTTAACAATAAAATTATGGATTTCTTGATTGAATTAAGGGCTGAAATTAGGAAATTGAAGACTGAAATACATGCAGGCAAGGCTGGTTTGCAAGAATGATCATGTGGTTTAAAGGGTCATTTAGTGGCTGTTATTGTGTTCTGAACATTACCTGTGACTGAGTTTTGGAAAAGTGGGTGCATTGAAGACTTATCTGGAATCAATGGATGCATCTCAAATTTGACATATTAACATTCTTCACTGAAATCAAATCTAGCTTGATCCATCGGGGTGTCTAAATTTATATCTTTCATTTGGATTTAAAAGAATTCTGGGATGCATTGACAGGTATGTATCATAAGTTGGTCTTCCTTTTGGACTTACCTTGTTAAAGATTTGAGAGATTCTGGTTAGCCATGTTCTTTGTGTGTCTCAGTCTCATGTTACTCTATACTCTTCACCGTATTAACAAAAAGCTCCATGTTGTATGAGTGTTCAGTTCTATTTTGGTATACAAAATAATCATTCATGAATTTCATTGAATCATTTTTCATGTGTTTTAATGATATGATTGAATAATTGGGTCTGCTGGAAAGCAATTTAAACCTCTATGTTTATAGACTGTTGTGGACATCCCTTGAGTTTAAACCTCCTAATGCATTTAACAAGTAGATTGAAGAGGTGAATTATTTTCTACAAGGATGATAAAGTGATGGCAGAAACAGTGAATTAGTTGGCTCTAACATTGCTTCTAGATCTCTGCCTATCCATTTGTGTGTTGACTTCCGGGGGAAGCATCTTTGATATGTATCGAAAGCTGTACAATAAAAAAATAATAATCTTTTATTGAAAATTATAACATTTAAATTTAAAATTCAATTATTATATTAATTCTTGCGCAAAATCTTAAACATCAAATTAAAAAAAAAAACAGAGAAAGTAAGAAATTTTAAATAGAAATGTGGCATATGAATAATTGAACAATTGGAAGAGAAATGTATTTCGGGACATTGGAGCAACATAATTAGGTGAATCCACATTTATTTTAATGCTATTAGTTGTAGTTTCTGTTTTGCATCCATGTTTATGGTATTTTTAGTGTTTCCAAACATGCATAACATCTATATTTTGGTTAGTGTGTAATGAATCTTTTATTTATGCACACAAATTTTTATATCCAACAACATAACATTTACAAAGACTATTTTGGCTGATGTGTATTTTTTTAATATTTTTTCACTTTATTTATTTTATTCTTTTAAAGGAGTCAAATAGTGTGCATTGGCATTAGCCTTCACTTGGGCTCCATAATTTCTACATTGCTTTAAAGTGAAGAAGCTGAACAGCTAGTTTCAGTTGACCAAAAGAAAAAGAACAGCTTATTGCAAAAAATAGTTGTTGGTAATTATAGTAAGGTGTTGTACGTCTTAACTTGTGCACACTTCAACCAATTTACCTATGATCATCTCAATATCTCCATGTCATATATTTTCCATCTACTCAACTCCTCTGGATTTGGTAGCATCGATATTGTTCCTATATAAAGGGTGGGTGGCTTAGGAGCAAGGTATATCAGAAAATTTGCAACCTTGTTACTCATGATGGAGTACAACATAAACTATATTCACTTCTGTTAAACTTTCAAACAAACATTTATTAAATAAAATAAATATTTTTTCACAGGTTAAAATCAATTTATACATTTCATCTTTTACAAATGTTATCGTTAATTGAGAGTTTTTAAAAAAGGGAAAGGAATATAAGTTGATTTTATCTTATAAACGATTTTTTTTCGTTATTCTTATTTTCTATAACTTACTGAGAAATTAATCTTAATGATTAAGTAAACTAATTGATAGGATCAGGTAAACTTTGCAATGTCTCTCTTCCTGTGCCCACTATCCTGGCCTACTTAGCAGAATGCAGATCTGAATCCACCCATATTGATTCAGACTCCATAACTTACGCAGTTACCATTTTGATGCCAAATTCTGTTGCTTATTGAAGAATGCATCGTTATTCAACAATTTAGCAGTAGGTTATACGCAATAGTATCAAGGTATAAAGGCATTGAATAAAATACATGCATTGGTCATTAAATGTGCATCTTATAGCACTCTTGAAATTTTTTTCTTTTGCTACGAAATAGGAGTAACTTTTTAATAAAATACATGCATTGGTCATTGAAAATGTCTTGTTTTGTATTCAAGAACCCCACTTAAAACCAACACTTGTACATACATATTTTTTAAGCAAAAGAAGTTGTGTTTCCCTCACCAATAATCCACATGGATTTGCCTAGTCTAAAATGAGAAGATGTGTGAAGTAAAAAAGTGAGTTATTATTTATTTATTTTATTGAAAAGTTAGTTATTATTTATTTATTTTATTGAAAAGTTAGTTATATATAATAAATACATAAATTCAAATCAATAGTAAATATACATTTACCTTTTTACTTTTCACATTTCTTCACTTCAAAGGAGCTAAATCCAATTAAAGCTGCCAGTGACAAGTCTAACTTGTTTTTCGTGATCATATGCAGCGGGGGTTCAGTGAAATCATCAAATCAAATACAGCTGTTGCTCTGGACAACTGAATTGCGCCATTCAAAACCTCATTCAAGGCAAAACAGATAACAGAGGAGATTAAATAATGCTATGTTACCTCTTCACATTAACTGCGATGTAAATAAACCAAAACAGCAGTGCGTAATTCATTATTGGCATTTCTAAGGGCAGTGGTGTGACAGTCACATACCTAGTAGGATTCAATCTAGTTGAATATTTAAAAACAACTTGAAGAAGTTGGTATGGCTTCAATGTATTGGAAGAGACACTGTAAGCAGAAATTTAAATGCATTCAGAAACACAACTTAATAAAGCACTTATTCAATAAGTTCTTTTTACATGATGACTTATGCTATAAATTTAACTCTCAAATTTATTAAAAATTTTTGAAAAAAATCTCATTTTAATGAACGATATCAAGATTTTTTTTTGTCAATACTAAAACGTTTATTAAAATAAGTTAAAAAAAACTTACGTGAGTCATAAATTATTTTTGTATATTACTTTAAAGATTTTTTAGATGGACCAACCAATTTGGATTAAATTATGAAAACTTTTGAAAGTCAATACTTTCTTTTCTTAGACAGTAAGGTTGAATTTTGTAAATTTTATGAGAGTTTATAGGTAAGAGAGCTTCTAAAAAAGATTAAGAATTAGTTAATTTTAATTTACAAAAGAAATTTAATTTATTATAATCACTTAATTTATTTTTTCATGAACATTTTTTTAAAAAAAATTATCAAAATCTCCTCTCCATTCCTTGAGCATTGAATTAACTGCAGTCAGAGGCTCACAGCTACTCTTATTTCATTGCCTGCTTTATTTATTACAATCAATTAGCCAAAGGGATGCATAAAGAATTTAACACATTTTTTAGCATTGAGTCAAAGCTAAACACATTTGAAAATGGATTTTAAGTTGGTACATTAATGCTGATTTTTGTGGGGTGCACTTTGCAGGAGGTGAAATTCTTGGACATTTTGAGAATGCAATATTGTGGCCTAAAGAAGATCCTATATTATGTGACCACATATCATATGCCCCCCTTTTATATTCCCTTAAGTAAGGACTTTTCTTTTTTGATAGGCCTTAATTGGTGGGGATTCTGAGACAGTGATTCGGACAAAATGTTTGGCAGACTTGCCTTGAAGCAAATGCCAAGTGGTCCACTTGTGACCAAATGTGAAATAAACCAATGAGGCAACCATGTGCCCCTGCCACTACAAAGGGAAAAACATGTGATACGACTAGTCAAATATCAATACATGTCATACATAACTTTACCTAAAGAAAAATATATCGGAAAGGTCAAATTACACTAAACATATGATATTGAAGGCCCAAAAAAGAACAAAAGTAATTCAAAGTTTTGAGGAGTTTGTACTCCCCTATATAAAGATTAGAATTTTGTTATATTCTTCTGCATTTTGTTTAATAATTATCTTTTTATTTTATAATTTATGTATTAAATAAAAAAGATATATATTTATTGTTTTGAAAATATAAAAAAAATATTATTTAGTAGTTAAAAAGATTTATAAGAATAACAAGCAAAAAAATTAAATTTTTTCTTAATATTTATTTTAAGTAAGATTCAACAAAAATAAAGCATTTATTATATTTTTTATTTTTATATAATAATTTTTTTCCAGTAATATCTTATCCTGTGTCCTAACTCCTGAAGGTTGATGTTGATATATATATTTTTTGGGCTGAATTTGAGTGAAGACATTGTATTTCACAAATAACTTGTCATGATTTGTCAACAAAGTTAACTTGAAGTGCACACTTACACAACTAATACTTGAACTGTTACACTTTTTATTCAAAGGTTGAGCAGCATGTTTTGGTAACTTGGTCATTGGCAAAATTGTTACATGCTTTAAGAATTGGAAACACAGTTTCATTTATGTCTCAAGGGAATGTTCTTAAACATTACTCATATGATGTTCATTGGAAACACCATTCCCAACATTGGTAACTGAACACAGAGTGGGCTCACCCATGCTTTTATGCACTCTTTGAGTAGGAATCCAGTTTCTCAAAGATCCCAGCCTTTCGTGCTTTGGTGGGTCTTTGTGTGTTGCTGCACTTTACTATACTCCTTGCAAGGGATGAAAATAAAAAAACCGATTTTTTTTTTTACTTTTTATGTAAATATTTTTATAATTATTAAATAAAAATTTATTAAACATTTTTAAAATAATAAATGTATCTACTATTTATTTAATAATTCAAATAATGATTTAAAAATTATTAGGAAAATATAGTAAAACTTATGAAAATAATAAATAGCACAAATAGAAAATAATTATATCATTCTATGATTTCTTTCCATGAGCTACAAAATAAATAAATAAATAAATAATTATGGTGTTAATAATGAAAGTTTAATTTTGAGGCATTATACTATCAACTAATTAGAATATACAATAAATACAACTTTTAAAATAATTATTACAAAAGTTAATTATTTTCTTAATATAACAATTTATGATTGAATGAGACAGTGTATTTTTAAATTCTAAATACTAATAATAATAATAATAAAAGATAAAACTATACTTGGAGCCCCGAAATGGGTACACTCAAATATCATGATGTGTCTTACAATACAATGAATTAATCATCAAAATCAGAAATTAATTACCTAAGTTATTCCAACTTCATGCACAAAATGGGAAAATACTGAATTCTTGTCTGAAGAGATACCCTTTGAGAGGATAATTCTCATTAACTTACACAATCATTGCACCCTCCGTACGTGCTTTAGTCTCATTCTTAGGAGAGATGGAGAAAGAGTCCTTAAGTTAGAGGAAGAATGAAGATAAATAATTCAAGAGAATTAGATTCTCTATCTTATTATTTTAGGATAAACATTTCATGGGTGTGATCCAATCCTATTTGCAGGCTTAATAAGGTCATGGTGGTCCCAATTTCTAAGAAGCCACTCCAGTTACTAAGGACATATATGATTCTTTGGTTGTTACACGTGTTATTTTAAAATTTAGGGTAAAATATCATTTACCCTTATCTAATTTCATATTTTTCTAATCTACTCTCTTATCTCCATTTTACTTTGAATTAAAGTCAATCTGTTTTTTTTTCTCTAAAAGTCAAAGAAAGTTATAGTTTGTTGTGTAACTTAACTCTTCTTTCTTTGGTGGAACTAAAGTAAATTAATTATTTTTCATTACTATTAGTGTTAATTATGAGAAATCATATTTTTTCGCTAAACATATTCTTTTTTTTATGTCAATTATTTAAATGTATTGAATCTCATAGATGTAGGCATGCATGAAATAGATTTTATTTTGTATCACTTGATGTAAACTA